CTACCCACTTAGAGCAGCAAGTGGTGCCTGTGGGTGGGCTGGGGCTGGTGGGGCTCTACTGACCGGCAGCGATTATCCAGCAGCAACTTGGGGCAGGGGGGAGCAGGGAAGCCACTGCCTAATCCATCCCAGGCTGGATGGGTGCCTGGATCATTTCAGCGCTGCTCGGTGCTTTCAGACGATGCTCATGCTCTGCAGTGAACCCGCCTCCTCGGAAAGCTCACGGCACAGGCATCTGTCACTGAAACCTGTCTGCATGAAAGGCTGTCTGCACAACCGGGGGGGGGGGGGGGGGGGGGGAAGAAAGGCATGACAGCACAATTAGTGAGAGCAAATGAAAGGCTGTTTGAAGAGGAGGAGGGAGGAAAGGGGAGAGCTGCATAAATCCCTGGTGGGGTTTTGGGCTTGACATCAAAACCCCTTAACAGTGTATTACTTCAGCCCCCAATGTGGACAGATGTTGAGCTGTGGCTCAAAGGAAGTCAGAAATCTTTCCTTAGAAAAAATTTGGCTAGGAAACTAAAGAAAATATTGTGAAAGAAAAGGAAATAAAAGCCCACTAAAGAAGATTTATCACTGCCTCAGGCATTTCTGTATCCTCTAGTCTTATGAGGTCTCGGCCTCAGGGGAGAGAGAAAGAGAAACAGCCTGTTGCTGTGTTAATGGGTCACAAATTCAGAGCAGGGACACGTTTGTCCAGTCAGAGGATGATGGAAGGAGCCAGCTCACCCAACCAAGGACTCCTCCGACCCATGCTAACCCCAGACAGCTTTCAGGGGCCTCTGGCACCAGCCTGCAGCATTCCCTGGCACATCCATCCCTCTGCCATTTTTGCCCACTCACTTTTGCAAAGTTCTTAAGGAGTCCATTGTCAGTGGCAAAACAGTTTCGTTCCCGAAAGAGCTTAGCATCTCTCACAAACCTGGAGAGTCTGCTGCCCTTTCCCATTCCAATGCTACAAATGAAGATGCTGAATAAAACCAGACCCAGCAGAGATTCTTGGGCAACCCTATTGCTGAAGCTCATTTATCCTTAAAACCTGTCTGTCAAACCTTGCACTTTGCTACCTACAAGACAGGAATAATTTTTACCTGGGTTTCCATCCGTGAAAGGACCATTCTTTGAACCCCATGGCAATGTAAATCTTTAAAAATAATTTTGCCAACATCTCTGTAAATGTCCTTCTGCTGTCTGTTGGGTTCTCACTATCCAGGCACAGCCAATACTTTCCTATCATCCCAGCATGCTCACCACGCAGCTTCTCCTCCTTCTGCTGTCCATTGGGTTCTCCCTATCCACGCACAGCCAATACTTTCCTATCATCCCAGCATGCTCACCATGCAGCTTCTCCTTCTGCTGTCCATTGGGTTCTCCCTATCCAGACACAAGCCAGTACTTTCTTAGCATCCCAGCACGCTCACAATGCAGCTTCTCTTCCTTGGAAGCCGCATCCGCTGGCTCTTTCTCACCTGCCTATCTCTGCTCACTGCTGAGACCCAGCCACCCTGGTAGGAAAGGAGGTGACCCCATGCAGCTCCCAGGGTCCCCTTCCAGAGCTTTGTTTGTAGGTGGGAGCTATGCCAGCATCCTGCCAGTCCTCTGGTGCAGTTGCCATTTGTGAAGCCAAATTGATCTGGTTCCTTAACTTACAGGCTACAAAGAATGAACTGAGTGTGAGGATCTCCTGGGTACCTGCAGCAGTGAAGACCAGCACTCAGTCATGCCTGAGCTACCTTGCCCCATCCTCCTTGGTACCCCGTTGTACCTTTGTGTTGAGCAATGTTTCCTTAGCCAGCTTCTTGCTTCTGATATATTTAAAGAAACTTCTTTAAAAACATCTTTACAAGGAGCTCTTCATGCTCTTTTTTAGCTCTTTTAATGCTCTGTCTACACTTTACTTGCTGTGTTTTATGGGGTTTCCTTTTCTCCTCATGTGGGAAACCTTTCCACTTTTAAAACACTGACCTTCTCCCTGTGATACCCTCTTAACCTTAGCAGTGAGTCAGGCAGGGTGTTTTTTAGGACCTCTCAGTTCTTTCTGAGTTGTGGCACATGTTTTACTTGGGCTTTAATAGAGCACTTTTTAATCGCCTCCAGACTGCTCGCAGGCTCCTTGCTCCCTGTCTGCTCCTTTTGGGTTTGTTGTTATTGACCAATCGCCTTCTTTTTTCATAGTTCCCTTTCTTGAAACCGTAGAGCCACAGGCTGGATTTATTTGGTGTGCTCTCTCCCACTACAGCACTAAATTGGTTGTTTTGTGGTCACTCGCAGAGAACAGCTCTCCCACAAACACCTTGTGAAGCAGGTCCTGTGCACCGCTCCCCACCAACCCCAGAGCAGGAGGCTTCCTCACAGCTTCCAGCGTTGCTTGGACCACGAGATTCATTATTGTATCCCAAACCACTCTTTTCCTTCCTGATCGATCACTGAGCTGGCTGGTTTCTCTAATCTCTTTTTGTATCTGCTGGTTGTTTCCTTTAGCCTGATCAGGGGTCAGTAACACAGTCTTGGCCCTGTATTTTTCCTGATGGAATTGGGGATCTCCCATCTTGGTACTGGGGTTGTCATTCAGGGTGATCAGAAAGCCTGGCATTGTCTTATTTCTTTTAAACTCCTGGTACAGGGGCAGAAGCACCTCTAAGTTTAGCCTTTACCTGATTGTTTAATACTGTTCCTGTGGGTCTGCCAGGACTACACAAACTCACCTTATTCATTGCAGCTGCATCATTTATTTCCCTGCTGCTCCTACCCTGGATACTGGCCACACCCTCCTCACAAGGGGTGCAAGTCTGAATTTCCACACCCATGGACTTCTCCCTCAGCTTTTCGTTTAAACATTCCTTTATGGCTTTTCCATCTTCCAGTGTCACCAGCCCAGCTGTGCTGCGATGGAGGTGCAGGGCCCTGTGACACCAGCTGGCAGGTTCAGGATGGTCTTCCTGGCAGGGATCCTTCCTGGGTGCTTATACGTCTTCATTGCAATGGGTACAAGAGCAGAGGTGGGACTCTGCCCTGCAACATCCCAGAGGCATTCCCTGTGCCTCCTTTCCCATTGCCTCATGCTTGCTGCAGGCACAGACACCCCACCATGATGTGTTCTGTGTGATGAGCTGGGCAGCCCCTTGCAGATTCTTCTTCCTTCATGGGCTGAAGCTGTTGGGTCTGGAAGGTTGCATTTTGATTTTCTAAAGAAAGCAGGAAAACCAGTCCTCTTACTGCAGGCTTGTTAATCCTCCTTGCTACAAGCTGAATTCCAGCTTTCTACACCATCACCCACAGAGCCTGGCAGTGTCAGTAGCCCTGTTTGCTTCAGGGCTAACTTGCTCCCCTCAGCCCTGCCCCAGCAGCCAGCCAGCCCCTTGACCTAAGCCCCCTGGGAGGCCCAAGGGTCCCCATCCTTTCCCCATCCCTTTGTTCCCCAGGGTAGCCCTACCTACACCGACAGCACCACACAGGGGTGCCCCTGAATTCCCATTCACATCACCCTTCTTTCCAGGCCCTATCAAGCCCGGAGGTACAGTATGAGGGAGCACACAGATATGTGGGGCGGGGGTCCCATAGGCTCAGACCTGTGTTCGAGGGTGAGGTGGGCTGAGATTTAGGTCCTGATGGGGTGTTCGTCTCACGGCGACCCTACGGTGCCGGGGAGGGCCGGCAGGGCGGTGCGCGGTGCCGGGGTGCCCCCTCGCGGCAGTTCTGGCGCGGTGCACCCCGCTCCGGCGCTGGAGGGCCCTGAAGGACGCTGCTCGTGATGACAAACGGCCCTTGAGCTCTGGGGCCCCTTCGCAGCCCCCCGCCTCCATCCAAACGCATAGGTGTGCGGGCAAGCATGCCCTCCGGCTCCCATCCTTCTCAGCCAGGGATCCCCTGCTGAATGTGCCACCCCGCTCACAGTCTAGAGCCGTGATCTAGAGGCTAATTTTTAACTTCTGGGACAGTACCAGTGTTTTTTCCCCCACTAAATCAGAGTCACCCCTGATACAGCCCAGTATTCATGAGCCTGTTTGCAGAAAGAGAGCATCTGGGTTTTGTTTTATAGGTGTCCTTGTGTGCTTTGGCATGACAGCATCTGCAGTGCACGAGGGAGCTCAGAAATGCCAAGTTCCAGGTGCAGCTGAGGTGCAGCAGGGAGGTCGATGCAGAGGTGGGCGAGGAAGGCTGTGGGTGACCCCCATTACTCAGAGGGAAGAGGAAAGCACCTCCTGAAAGTAGTTCAGGCAGACACCTGACAGCCACAGACTAAATTATAGGCAAGGGCAGATCATTTTCCAGTGTTTTGGGGGCTTCCCTTTGAGATAAGGGTTTGGGTGACATGGCCACATCCTCTCTTGTCCCTGTAATGCCAGCCAGGCAGCCCAATGTAGTAGTCACTGGTCCCCAAAGCACTGAATTTTGGGACTTGGTTTCTCTGGGGGTTCAGAAGAGGCAAGGCTGGCTGTTCAGCAGACACCAGCTCCTCCCATCTCACAAGGGTTTGGGAGTGAGCATTGTGTCAGTAGAATGGGGTTTTTATAATGCAGATGTGTCAGAAGGAGGTGTGAATTAACCAAAGAATGTCCAGTTGTAAGGGGTGAAAACTTGGTGATGTTTTCATGAAGGTACCACGATGTTGTGTGTGGTTTTGTACATGTCAACCCTGGTCATGAATGCAAGCCAGGCTCTGTGTACAAAAGCAGCAGCCCGACATGCACGAGAGGGACTTCTACTCTTTGTGTAGGCACAAGTCTCGGGCAGTCAGGTGGGTGAGCTGCTGGATTTTGACCCTTTTGGAAGTGGTGAAGCAGCACTCATTCTGTCTCTGCTAAAACAGAGCATTTATCTGCATTAGCTCCCAGCTCTGACTCCAGGCTCCTACATAGAAGTTACAGAGGGTAAGAGTATTAATGTATGCTGCTGTTTGACGCATTCCTCCTGCAGTGCTGAGCTCTCTGTAAAGCATCAAGTGTTTCAAAGAACTGGAAAATAATGCACCTTGCTCACAAATGAACTGCGCATTGCCAGCAAAAGTTGTGCTTTAATCCGTGTACAAAACCATTAATCCCTTAAATGATAGGTGATAAAAAAACCCCAAACCCATGAAAAATACATCGAATGAAAGATATGTTCCCTGCCTGGGACCAATGATTCTTCAAGGGCCCAAAGGACAGCTATTGGCATGTCCCAATACCCAAGGCACTGTGGGGAGAACCCTCTCTGAGCACGGGTTACCAGTTAAAGGCCATGGAAGAGAACTGTCCCTATGGTGTAGCCTGCTCCTCTCCTCAGGGCGATGCTGTGGGCACATTTCACGTGCTGCTGCCGTGCTCCACTCTCTGGTACTGCGCGTGTGTGCAGCTCGCTCCTCTTCCACGCTTCTGCTTCAACACGTTTCCTTCCCACACTCTGCTGGGAATGGCAAAGGTCAGCAGCAGCTCATGAGGAGCCAGAAGCTAGGCAAGGGTCTGCAGCACCACCTCCTCCATGTGCGTGTGCTCCCTCCCCTTGGCATCGCAGCCGTGTGGCTGCACAACCTCCTTCTGCTCCAGCATTCCTGCCCTGCCACCTCCTTCACAACCAGAACTGCACAAACACCTCCTGATCTGCCCTGCCCCATCACAGGCTTGGCATGGAAATTACTGGGTGAGAGCCTGTGTTACACCAGGAGATGTCTCTGCCCCAGAGGAGAAGGATCAGTCCAGGATTACCCTATGGTGAAAAGACAGGACTACTGTCCCCTGCTGCCTTCTTGCTGTCCTGAGCTGCCTGTCCTGTGCTCTGGTCCTGTTCTCCTTCCCTCAACCACAAGCCCTGGTTTTAGCCCTTTTCCTCCCAAGTGTCACCAGTGCCCTCCAGCAGCACGGCCATAAGGCTCAGGACAGTGACCTGCTGATGAACTACACTGCAGCTCTTACACCCCATCCCATCGCCCTGCCACAAACCTGAGAGCTTCTTGGCAGCACTGACCAGACTCTGCAACAGCCCTGAGCTGCCCAGTGCCACAGACCTCAGGGACTGCTGGTGGGAAGCTCCCAAAGCCAGCTGCTCGTGCTGGTGCTGCAGCACACGTACCGTTTCCTGGAGAACTGCTGCTCTATCTCCTCTAAGGACTGTCCTTTTGTTTCCGGAACAAAAAGGTAAATGAACATAACAGCCATCACTCCCATCAGTCCGTAGAGAAGAAACATCCAAGAGAAACCAATGGCATCTGCAGAGAGATTCAAGTGCATGAAGGGTCCACTGGAGGTAGGTTACATCATGAGGCATGAAGGAAGCTGGCTGCTTACTGTGAGGGGCATCTTATTTTGAGAAGCTCCCAGCAGGGCAGGGAAGCTCCTTATGTGCAAATTCTGAACTGGGAATCGGAGAGGGAGAAGATGCCAGGCTTTGCCAGCAGCACACAAGAGGAAAGGGGAAGGCAGCCAAGCTCCAGGGCCCAGCAATGTGCCTCAATTGAGAGATCTGCTAGAAAGCAATGTTGTAAAGCTGCTGGTATGGAAGCTGAAAAATCCAGCTTCCTGATACTGCAGTACCTCATTGCAGCCCAGTGGGCGATGGATGATTCTTATGGAAGCAGTGACAGAGGTGCTCAGACCAGTGCTGCTGGTGTCTGATTTCTCTGCACTCAGAGGCATCAGGGTTACACCTATTCAAGTTCCCAGGGTTCAAAATGCCACTTCATCTCCAAACAGCTTGTAGCAGCCACCTTCCCTAACCAGCTGTGGGAGATGGAGGGATGCAGAATGGCCACTTACCAATAAGGTCCAGGAAGGAGAGGCTGATCAGTAAATTAGCAGCCCAGTTAAAGCTGTTACAGAAGGCAAAGGCTCTTCCTCTTATCCCAGCAGGGTAGATCTCACTGAGGACCAGCCAGGTCACTGCATGGATTAGAGAGATCAGGAACACAAGTGCAGGGTTAAGCAATTTATCTGGGAAATGGGCAAGGGAGATTTCAGCAGGGGTTTTAAACTAGGCTTCACCCAGAACCTGCTGCTGGTGTTGTCAAACATTCATCAGCCTCAGTGTCGGGTCACTGCAGAACACTTCAAACTCCCATGTTTAGAACTCCACAGAATGAAATACCAGTGAATGGGTCCATGGGGCAAAGAAGGAAGCAGGGGAGTTGATTATTCTTTTCATGGAGATGGAAAACATACGGCGTACCTGCTGTCAGGACATGCACTTTGCAGTAAAAAATGAAATGAGAAAGGGGTAGGGTTAGGGAGATGATGACCGTGTTTGGGCCAAAGTCAGAGCTAAAGCAATACATGTCTTAGTCTCTGCTATCCCAGAGTTATTTTGATTGAAATAATTGACAAGGTCACTGTCAAACCTTGCTCACTTGAAACTTGCTCACTTCTGTTTTTTCTGGTTAGATGCTGTTTCTCCCATCAAAGAGCATTTAAAGCAATAAAAGGCAGAAAACAGTAGAGTTTACATGGAAGTGAGAGCTAATCTCTGTTCTCGTCTGATGAATAATGATTTTAGGAAAAGACCAACTGATACAGAGAAACTTCTAAAGAGGTCCCACTTCCAGTTCTGCACTGACTTTATCAGACAGCTGAAGCCCCTCAGTCCTGAGCCCTCTATTTCCCTCCTCACCAGGGTGCCAGGAAGAATGAGTTATTCCAGTGCTGTACCAGCCCCGTAGCTGAAGAGATGCAACATTAGAAAATGATTCTGTGGGCAGAAGGGGATGTATTTCCGGTTCCCAGACACTGAGCTGCTTGGTAAAGCAGACACATAATGAATGTTTCAAGCAGACTGTAAGGATCAGCCCTAGTTTTATTCTCTGAGTTAGTGCAAGGGTAGATATAAACACCATACTTACTTGGTCCAAATCCAATTGAGAAGGCGCTCACAAAAGCCATCATGCTCAGCAGCGTAATCCAATTTAAGACCATATGTTCTGCCCAAGGAGCACCACCAAATGGAGGGCCTGTGCTTGCCACTGTCTCTCTTTTGGACTGACCTACAAAGCCCCTTTTCTGAGAGAGGGAAGAATCAGGAACAACCTCTCTGCTTTGAGTACTCGTAAAAAGTTTTGTAAGGCTCCTCGTGGCAGCGAAACCGGGGTCTGCCTGACTTCTGACAGCATCTAATGCTGGTGGGATGGGTGATACAGCAGACTGGGAGGATAGAGGTGTCAGGGGGTGCTGGGTGAGGCTGTGGGATCCATTGGGGTCTGTGGCTGCTTTGCAGTCCCTGGCCATGGCCAGTGGAGCAACACGGCTGGTGAGGCTGATGGTGGTGACGGAGATGGCCATCACCACGCAGCCAGCCATGAGCAGCACCCTCCTGCCAGCCTTGTCTGCAAAGGCCATCGCGACGAGTGTGGCCACCACCTTTATTGCCCCCAGCCCCACAGAAGCCAGGATTGCTGAGGAGTTGCTCTGGAATCCCACCGAGTGGAAGATTTTGGAGGCATAGCCCAGCACATTGGGTTGCCCAGTGAACTGCTGGAAGAGCACCAGTCCCAGGCCCACCAGAGTCCGCCTTCTCATGTTGTCTCTGGTTCTGAAAAGGTCGAGAAATGAGTAATCCTTCTTGTAGGGCTCACGCTTTCCTGCTGCTTTGTCCTCAGTGTCCTGCATCTGAATGAGGCCCTTCTGGCAGTCTGAGTCCCATGAGCTTAATTTAACAGGGTTCACTGGGAGAAAGAGGATGCTGAGGAACTGCATGGCTGTCGGGGCAATAGCCAATCCAAACATGTACCTCCATCCCTCATCCACATCTGCAAAGATGTAATTCAGTGCATAGGACAGTAGGATGCCTACGGTGATGCCTGCTTCATAGAGAGACACCAAGAGTCCTCGCTGATGAGCAGCCACCATTTCTGAGACATAGATGCAGCAGGCCATGGATGAGACAGAGATGGCAAAGCCCACGGTCATGCGCCCAATGACCAGACCAAGAAATGACCTTGACAGTGTAAGAACAAGGCTGCCAACCAACAGGACCAAGTTGCTGACCAGGATTGCTCTCCTCCTTCCATAGCGGTCAATGAGGATCCCCCCAACCAGAGAGGCGAGGAGAGCTCCGATAAGAAGGGCACTCACAAGAACTTCTTGCTTGAAGCAGCTGAGGTGAAAGTCTATCTGCAACTGCAGCAGTGCACCGGAGATAATGCCCAGCTCGTATCCAAATATCAGCCCACCCAGGAGAGAGACTGTTGCAGACAAGAGGAGAACCAACAGTCCAGGACCTGGAAAACAAGCAAGCAATGCTACATTGAGTGTTCTGGTGCTAGCAGGCAAGCTATCAGCAGGCACAGGGTGGAAAAAGCTCTCCCAGGACACCCAAAGTTTTCCATCTACAAAGCCGTGATGGTGAATTTCCCCACAGGTCGCTAAGTCATGTGTAGAGAGGCACTTGCAGATGGTCACATAACTCACCAGGCCTGAATGCACTTCCACTGGCTGCAGGGGCACTTATCTGGAATGCGGAACTATGAAAACAGGACTTTGTCAACAATGTTAAGACTTGTATTTAAGTGGAGGACAGTAATTTGTAGTGCCTGGAGTTGTACAGGGGGCTCCTCTGTGGTCTCCCCTCATTCCAATTACAAAACCTATTCTGGGCAGAAAAGGCAGCTTCTGCTTTCTGATTCCAAATTGTTCTGCGTTATCACATTTCAGCGCATGTGGCACCACCAGTTCCCACTGCAGGCTCCGCATTCTCACCCCCTACCTTGTTAAAAACACTGCTCGCAGGAGTTTATTTCTCCTGGTTAATCTTGCACTCTCAGCATGACTTTGTGGGGGTGGCTCGGATTTCTTCATCTCTCCTTTTGCAGCACAACAGTGTCTGGGATGCCTGAGACAGGCTCAGCCTCCTCAGGCTGGTCCAGGACTACAGCACAAACTTCATCATGAGCTGAGAAGCTCACTGTTGCCTGCCCCAAATACAAGAAGTGATTCTTTGACCGTGACCTTCCCACATAACTGAGCATGTAAGTCTGGTAAGTATTTAAATTTAGCTAAAATAAGAAAAAGGAACAACAGCAAAAGCAAGCCAAACCCAAACCATCCCACACCAAATAACCCGAGAAAACCAAGGTGCTTGCTGCAGATACTTGTCATCCTGGGAGAGGATGAAAGGGTGACCATGTGTGACCCATCAGTCATATTATGGCACGGGGGACTGCACGTGGTGTGAGAGCCAGTGCTGATGTAGGGACCTCTGGGACCAGTTGTGACAGGGACACCCCTATTACAGTTTTGAAGGCGCAGGCAAAGTGCATTAGCTTCGAAGTTTGTGCTGGTTCCCAGCATGTAATGTTATCTGTATCCTCACACTGGCTTTGTTTAATTAGAAATACTCAACTTCTTTAGCATACTGCATGTGGAAAAAAATGTGGACACAACTACCAGATCATGGAAAACTTTCCTCACCCTGCCTAAGGGCTTTTTTCCCCTCACAAGCTGTGTTTCATAGGAGGTGTCTCTATTTGGCCTTTAATTGGAGCTTGTTCTAAAGGTTATTTCTCAGTGATGGCTGTATTTATATTTGTATTTATTCTGTAACCCTCTGTTCTGTTTGTGTTACTTACCCCATCCCAGCTACACACCAGTCCCTCCACCACACTGTGTGACCAGCACTGCTTTTATCACCTTGTACGCATGTTCTACAGATAATTAGAAAAATATTTGCTCACTGAGAACAAAAGGCTTTGCTTAACGTGGGCATGCCATTAGTTTCAAGCCACAAATTCAATCAGATGCACAGAGCCACACCGATTCTACTGCGTTTTGCTGCAGTTCTTGTTAAAAACACTGCTAACTTAATGAGCAGTAATGCAACTTGGATGAAAAGCCAGTTTTGTAGATAGTCTGTTGCGATGTAGCTGGGGAACTTGGGGACTCCAGGTCACCATATGAGGACAGTTAGTTCAGTGGGTCTCTCACGGAGCTCTGGCGATGTCAAACCGGCCGGAGGGCAGTGATCCAGGACTGGGCAGTGCCCGTGCTGCTGACCTGCCTTTTGCACAGCTTCAGTCCCTCTCTGCACACACACCAAGGCCGCTGCCTGCGCCAAACCTCCCCGCGCAAAGCTCCCTGCGCGCTCCCGCCGGCTGCCCCCCTTTCCCCGCTCCGCTCCCGGGATGGCTGCGCCGCGGGAAATCACTGCACGTTTTCGGTATGTGCTGCGGGGAGCGCAAAACCAAACCAGAGAGCGCTGGGGGCAGGGGGACGCAGTTCCAGCCTTCAGGAAAAGTTGGAAACTTTGGGGGATGGAACTTTTCCCCGGGGCAGGACGCGCCCTCTCCCCGCCCGGATGCCCGGTCCCGGGGACGGGGGTCCCGCTGCCTCCCTCCCTCCCTCCCCATCCCGATCCCGATCCCGTCCCGTCCCCGCGGCACTCACCCATGGCGCGGCGGGCGCGGAGCAGGGCGGAGCGGAGCGGCCGGGGTCCGGCGGCCGGAGCGGGGCCGCACAGCGCCACGTCGCAGCCGCGCAGCCTCCCGGCCGGGCAGCCTGGGGCTTGTAGTCGCCCTGCCCGCCCCCCGCCGGGGTGTGCGCGGCCCCGGAGCGCGGTGGGTGAGCCGGGCGGGCCGCGGGGCTGCTCCGTGCGGCCGCGGTTTGCCGGCGCAGGGGCCCAGGGTCGTGTGACCGGGGGGACAATTGCGAATTGGGATAGAAGGGAGGATGTGGCGGGGTACGGCTCCGGGCGCTGGACTGACAGCTCTGTCCCCAGGCTACCGCACTTGGGCCAGGAACAGGGATCTCCTCGCTGACCGCAGACCCCCTCTACTGCAGAGCTTCACCCTTCTAGGTTAGAAAGTCTCTGGAAAGCTCACAAGAGATTGACAGCTTATGATCGTTCTTAGGTAGCTCGGCTGGAAAGCCAACGAAAGCCTGATAGGAAATGAGGAACCATTTCAAAGCTAAAAAGAGAGCAGTATGACTGAGTCTGCACTCTCAACTTTCTCCACGGTCCCTCCAGTTTATCTCCTTCCCTTTGAACCGTGCTTCAGTAGGGGAAGCTTTTCAGCATTCAACTTCCCTTGCAATTAACATTCTCTTTCTGCTGAGTGGAACAGAAACCTTTCAGCTGCATAAAAGACACTGGGACATGCACTTGGAAACAAAGATTTTTTTTCTGAGACTGAGCTTAAAGTTATAAATCGCAAAGTCCAGTTTGCAAAACACAGATTTTGCAGAACTAGAGAGGCCTAGAAGTGCTTTCCAAACTCTTTAACACAATGCAAACATTCTCCCTGGGTCGTCTTCATGCAAACTGCAGTTGTATGCATGATGTTCAGATTGCTGTAACTTAGTTGGTGTGGGGACCAGCGCAGGGAAGATGTGCTATCCCCGGCCTGGGGTGGGCTTGCACCCAGAGCCATGCAACAGGGACTGCCAAGTAGAAAACAGGCTGAGAGAGCTGGGGTTATTCAGCCTGAAGAAGAGAAAGCTCCAGGAGACGTTAGAGCAGGTTCCAGTGCCTAAAGGGAATGACAAGAAACCCGGAGAGGGACTTTTTATAAAGGCAGGGACAGGACAAGGAGGAATGGCTTTAGGTTGACAGAGGGGAGTCTGAGATGAGCTCTGAGGCAGAAGCTCTTCCCTGTGAGGGTGCTGAGGCGCTGGCACAGGGTGCCCAGAGAAGCTGTGGCTGCCCCATCCCTGGCAGTGTTCAAGGCCAGGTTGGACACAGGAGCTTGGAGCAAGCTGCTCTAGTGGAAGGTGTCCCTGCCCATGGCAGGGGTTGGAGCTTAATGAGCTTTAAGGTCCCTTCCAACCCAAACCAGGCTGGGATCCTATGATTCTAATCACAGTTATAACAACACAAGCTCCAGCCCAACGCTCTGTAGAGCCTGCGGTGGTAAAGTTTTTGCTACACTACAGCTTGAGTTGTGGAAGTCTCTGCAGACCAGTGGTGCTGTCTTTGCTCTGACTCATATTTTTGGGATGCTTGAGATGGGCAACACCAAATCATGCATATCCTTTCAGCTTTAGTCTGTTGGATATCTGGTCTGCAACACAGGCAGCAGTTGATCAAAGGATTTGGTTTTGCTCCTTCTCAAATTCATAGTGAATATAGAAGATGTTTCAAATCATCTACCTGGTTTATAGATTAAATAAATGCTTCTCATTCATACACTCTAATTTCAATGGAAATAAATTATGTAAAAATACCTCTTTTAAAACTTATTATCTGATGCAAGAGACAGCTGCACAGGGATCACACACTCGGTGAAAGAATGGCTTCAAACATGAACACCAGCCCCCAGAAACCAATGGTGTTAATGGAAAAAGCTTTTCAATAGGATTTGCAATTCAGATGAAAGTAATTTAAATAGCTCTGAAATCACAACCAGTTCTGATGACACTTGGAGAAATGACTGCAATTTTCTCTCTTCCCAAGACTCTGCATATGGGGCCAGTTCATGATGGGCAGCCAACTCTACAGCTTTGTGCCTGGGCTAATGTTCCACATTTTGGGAACATGAGGATGCAGCGTGGTTTTGCCTGTGATCTCTGGCCCCCACAGCTACTCCCCAGAGCTCAAGCCCAGGCATTTTGGGTGAGCTGTGTTGCGAACTGCAGGAGATGTCACCCATGCATGGTTTCCCATGGGACCTACAGTCCAAAGGAGCCACTGGGCAAACCCACCCTTGGCTACGTGATCTGCAATTTACCTGAACAATTCCTTCCTTCTCCAGTGCCACCCCACCATTTTCTGCAGGCTTCCTGTTCTCTGGCAGGACAATAAATATTATCAGCCCAGACAGCACGGAAGCAATGTCCTGGGGAGTATAGGTAGAGCTTTATGGTATGTTTACAAAAGGTGGTCAAAGAAATGACATCAGTATGTACAGAAATACGGCCGCTGCGCCAACACTGTGTGTGGCTGGAGGTTATGGTCCTCTGAAAAGGAAGATGAAGACCTGCTCTAATGTACAGCTGGGATAATGGGGTGTGTGTGTGAGAAAAACCTTCCTTTGTGGTTTCTAAAGTACATCTTTCTTACCGTACCATTTGTAGTTATTGGGTGTTCTGGGCCTGTTGAAGTCAGTAGTTTTGTCCCTAAGCTCCGCATTACAAGAGGTTGGATCCACCAGGACTGGCTCATGCTTTGTGTTTGCCAGCTTGTTTCTAGCCTTGCTCCCTCCTGTGATGCTTTCCTCCCACTCTCAAGGCTGGGTGTCTCAGCAGTGTCATTGCCCCATCTGACCCTTATCTAGCTCTTGGCCGCTGGACAGGCTGGTGTGAGGGCAGGTTCCTGCTTCTCAGAGAACAATACATCCCCAGGACTGAGCCGCAGGAACATGGTTCCTGAAGAGCTTGGTGTTTGGAACAGCAGCCTGTGTTGGTAACACAACCCGGCTGTGATTACTGAAAGTGTTTTTCTCTGCCTCTGGGCTGGAGCAGCTGAAAGAGACTTAAAATCACAATTTAAAATATAAAAGCAAAAGCAGAAAGAAATCCATCCTGGAAAAAGGAATACACCGGTTCAGCAGTGCCATGCACCTGCATTTATCGAATGCTCATTTACAGACCAGTGAGCTGTCTCTTTAGGATGCCAGGCTGTGCATGTTTCCTTCTATGTTATCCCAGTCCTGGAGGGGGGTCTGTGGCTGCTCAGTACTGGTGGTTGCCCCAGGGGTCCTGCACATTTTAGGGATGCCTCCAGCATGGCAGCCTGCACAACCCAGGGTACTCCCCTGCACCCCTGCACCCTTCTGTTTGGCATCCGGTCCTTATCTGTAGCATCCTCTTGCTGGCCAAGATCCGTAATTCTGAGCTGTGAATTCACACGCAGGAGGGTTTATCCCTGTGCCCACACTCTGCAGGTTGAGAACACAACCTCAGAGCCAACAAGTGCCTTAGCTGGGTGCAAGGAGCCACCTGAGCCCTGATGCAGCCCAAATTCAACCCTTTTCCAGTGTGTCCAGCTCTGAGGATGGCAGCCTCCATCCCTAAATAAGCTGTGGGGTGAAGGGGGAGCTGCAGCCTGCCTGATGCTGAGGGATCAGCAGGACAGAATGGAGGAACCCATGGGATCTGCCTTGGTTTCCATTAGCTTGGTTTGCTGCGCTGCAGTTTTTTTACTCATGTTGTTTGTAAAAGGAGAGTTTCTGAATGCTCATCAGCAGGAGAACAAAGCTACATAACTAAACAGTTCAGCAGAGTCTGTGGCTAAAGTGCAGTTCTCTGGAGTGATCAATATTCCAATAAAAATACTGGGGGATACCATAAATATTGTAAGTGGCTCTAGATGGTTTCCAAGGGCTATGTCAGTTGTTTATTGCATTCAAAGAGAAGAGAATGAGTAAAATCACAGGGAAGATCAAATTTGAAAAATAAAATAATAGGAAAAATAAAGCAAAAATATTTTCTTTCCTATTTTGAAAGCTCTGAGGGTGTTTTTGGCCAGCATGAAAGAAGACCATCTTATTTACCAGAACAACGAAGTGAGGGCATCTGTGTGCACTTGCCCACAGGCTATATATGTATGTCTGGGGGGTGTTCTGCCCTGATGCTTAGGCAAAATCTGCTCACAACACGAGGAAAGCTTTGTTTATCTGACTGTTTGTGGCATTTGCAAATTCCAGACACAATGCCCAGGAATCTCTTTCCTTGGCCAAGCTACAGTTGTTTTCCCTGCCATAGGTGGGCAGAACTGTGGGATGCGTTACCTGTATCATTGAAAACTTGGGAAGGTTGTTTAAAAGTTGTAACTGAAGCAAGATAAATATTTGCCAGGCGTGATCCCACCATGCAATGACAAGTAAGCTGTATGGAATGTCTTAATAAAATAGAAATGTTCTGAAAAGGAAACAAATGTTGTGGATGAGAAAACAGGGACAAAATGGACTTGCGGCACCTCCAAAGCCAACAATTGAAAACCTATTTACGTGGACTGGGCTAAAGCCTCTTGTATCTTCTGAGGATTATAAATCGCAGTACATGCAGATTGCCCAGTAGAGTAGTGGGGTTTCAGGGAGCCATAAAAAGTCCAAATTGTGGTCCCAATATGATGAGATAATGTCCATCTTTTACTAACATGGAGATGTGGGGCTTGGATGCTTAAGGAAGGGGGAGTCACCCGACTCACTGCAAGTGACCTGTGCCATTACCTGCGACAGAAGCTTTGGTGCTGCCCAGTGCGGGAACCTAAGGTGACACCATGCCCTGCTGCAGGCTTGTGATCTCTTGTAGCCTACAGGAAACCTTCTCCCCAGACACGAACTGGGCAGTTCTAGTGGATCTGCACAGCCTCCAGTAAAGGCTTTTGGCACATGAAGCACCAGGAGCCAGTGGTGGAGCCCTGGTGGTGGGGATGACGTGCTGCTGATGCCCCAGTGATGGTTTCCATGGTGATGCCATGATGGTGATGTCCTGGCGGTGGTGTCCTGGTGGTGATGCGTGGGGGTGACAGCCTGGCAGGTGGCTCTGAGGTGGTGCTGTGAGCACCTCAGGGAGACCACAACAGCCCAGCTGCCACCTTGGGAAGATGCACACCCAGCAGCTCTCTTGC